TGTATCCACAGCATAAGAGCTTTGCTACAGGGACCTAAAATATGGGACCAATAGAGGGGACAAGTGAGGTGTCCCCCTCCTATTGGATAATGAGTTGGCCATCATTCTATTGGTAAGTGAGGTGTCCCCCTCCTCTTGGATAATGAGTTGGTCATCATTAATGATGGCCAACTCATTATCCAATAGGAGGGGGACACCTCACTTGTCCCCTCTATTGGTCCCATATTTTGGGTCCTTGAGGAATTTTTCACAGCATAATTAGCAAATCCCGGCGCTTTGGTAAAACTCTGAACCAAATGAGGGTAAATTTCATAAAAAAAACCCTGAACTTTATAGAGATAAGAGAAAAAAACCCTGAATTTTCAAAATTGTATTAAACAAGCCTGAATTTTTCCAACATTTTAGGGTATTCGGTGTACTTTGAAAGTTTAGAGGGCTTTATCTGATTTATAATTCAAGAGTGTTTTGTATAATTTAAATTCTGAATAAAAAAAGGTTATCTTTGTTGATACAAAGCATAAATACCTGCAAGGAGTATAGGGATAGGTGAGATGAGTGATATTTGCATGAAGAGCCCTTTGGACATCCTCTCTGTTGAAGTACTTCTCCACATAGTCTGCTGTGCATGGATCATATCCTGACGCCAACCCCCATCTCATCCCATGCCAAAGCTCCTAATTCATCATAAACTTTTAATTCATAGCAATTAGGGGGCAAATGTCGAGAACAGATAACATAAAGTTCCTTTAAAATTCAAGTTTTATGAACCAAACATGTACTTTGATTATGCAAGTATATACATAGTATTTCAAAGTGCAAAATGAAAGCTTTGTGTAACTCTGATTAGAAAGTTCAATATCACAACATTTTTGTTTAATCTTCATTTTTTAAAATTTTTATTTAGTTTTAGAAGAATCACACAAAAATTTTCTTCGTCTATAACCTGTTTGCATAATAGTTTACATTAAAACTCCTCATCTACAGAAAGCATATATGTTATTTTCTTCGCCCTTTTGAATTCGTCGTTTTATGAAAGTTTAACAATTAAAATACATAAAATTACAAACAAAGTTAGAAAAATTATTCATGAAAATTTTAAAGTTTAACAAAATGATATCGGTTTTCTGCAAAACAGACATAAATTTAGTTTTAACTTTATGGGCAATCAATACGTACGATATCAGGATTTTTCAAATGATACCCAAATCAATAAATTTTGCTCCTTCCGCGAAAGAATGTACTTACATGCTGAGAGAAAAGGCGAGGAGCTGCAACGAGCTTAGATTTTCTCGATCTTCTTTCTTCAAGAGACGAGAGGCAGACAGGAGTGTAGATGCTGTAGATATCAATATCTGAGTAAGCCTGCATGAAGGCCTTGACTGCAGGAGAACAGGCACGTACGCTGCTTGAATTTTGGCCATCATCATCTTCTTCTTTAAAGGAGTTGCAGTCTTTCGTGACCGCAGAATACAGTTCGTCTGAAATAATGGCATGGCTCCATGCATACTCCACCATCCCCATTTGATCCGTTTCATCGTTTATTACAGCATTCCCAATCTGACACAATTTTTTTTAGCGTTATCTCAAAACGTGCCAAACTTTTTGGGTGTTATATGCAATATTACCCAGTTGTACACGTCTTTATTTAAGAATTCAGCTATAAACAGAGATTTTTTTTTTAACATGCATCCAAAAACGGAAGTTTTTTTTTTCTAAGATAAAAGCGTTTCAGAGCATACAGAATCTTTTTCTACCATTATTAACAGACTTCAGCAATCTTCTAGATCTGCATTAGCTTTTACTTTTTCTTGCCAGAGAAAAAAGAGGAATCAAAGCAGAGTAAAGTTAGGTATGGCCTCGGCTAAAAGACAATAATGTAGCCAGCTAATTGTCTCTTGCACTCTAGTGACATCTACAGTGATTTTATTCAAGGACCAACTTAAAGTTGGTATAGGTACTCGAGTACTCACCATGAAACCCTTGAGCTTAATATAAGAATCCTTTGATGCCGCTTTGTTTCCTTCGTAAATGAGCTCTGCAAGCTGAGGAACATAGTGTCCTGATGTACACATATACGCATTGATTAGTTAAACCAGCTTAGGTAGATTGCACTACTACTTTAAGTCATAATTTCACTGTCAAAAATTAGTGCATGTCGCTACTTTTAATCACAACTGTTTATTATGTAGTTGACGATTGTGATTCACCCTGAACGTAAAAGGGGAATCGTAAAATACACTAGGAGATAAGTAAGTGCTCAAATTTTGAATAAATTAATTACCCTTTCAGCTAAACAATAGATGGTTATGATTAAAAGTACCCAAAAAAATGTTATTTATTATCTTGAATCTGACGCAGCGCGGAAGTTGTAACCTCGGAATCCACCAAGGGTGTTCTCTGAATCCACAAAGAACGATCTTCGAATCCACGAAGAGCTTCGAATCCACGAAGAAATATTGAGGAAAAACAAAATTTTATTAATCAAAAGTTATACCTCTAGGGCTTACAAGACTCTTCTTAAATAGAAAAAGAAACAAGACTCCTACAAGGACTCTAATTCCTACAAGGACTCTCTCTAATTCCTACAAGGACTCTGAACTAACCAAAAATAGTAAAAATTCCTAAAATATTAAAACTCCTAAAAAGACTCCTTATGATTAGGAAAGTCCACCGGTCAAATCTGAGATCAAATCGGATTTGTTTCCTAAACAAAAACAGACTCCAACTTTATTACTAAAAATAAACTAAAGACTGATTATTTTCGGATTTCAGCCAAATCTGGATATAACTGATGAGATTATAAAAATATGACAATCTGGTTGGCTCCGTTTCGTCGAGATAGGCGATTTACACATATAATATGTCAGAATCCGCCTTCCGGATTGAAAGATATGATTGTTTCTTTGCGAAAGTATAAATCTGTATTTAGCTCGTGAATGTCCGAATCATCCATTAAATTTTCGATTAAGCGTCCTACATCAGTCTCCCCTTGTTGAAAGAAGCTCGTCCTCGAGCTTATATTTGCTTGAATAGTAGCTTCATCGATAAATATCTTCCTTAACCTGCATCGATCAGCATCTGCCTTGTACTTGGCATTGATTTTCTCCATCTGTTGTTTTACCTCTTCAGCTAGGACTTCTTCTGACTCAAATTCTTGAATAAATCTTTCACACACCATGTGTATGTGTCTGACAGCATGTGGATCTGCAATTGACTTGAAAAACTCCTCAAAATATGTTCCATGTTGCTTCTCATATTCTAGTGCTGAAAGTATCATCACATTGTTGTTGAAATTATTGATGATCATTGCTTCCAAAAAAGAATTTTCTCCCTCATACTCCATACATAATTCTTTCATCTTCTTTGCCTCGAGCCCTCCACCAAGCAATTCACACATACCATCAATTGTCTCATTCTCTATTTTATCCTTCTCCTCTATCGGGACAACATCAATATGTTGAATATCACTCTCAACCACTTTAAGAATATCATGCATATCATCCATCTTCACTATCATATCACCATCATGCATTTCATGCATATCGAGTGGTTGCATCTTAGGAGGAATTTCGGTAGAGGCATGTTCATCTTTTTCAGTTACAACCAAGTCACAGACCTCTTCAGATTGCTTCAAGTTTTCTGTTAAAGCATTGTTGTTTGTCACCAAGAGTTCCTTCTTCTCAGTAGTCTTTATCTTATATGGCTCATTTTCTGTAAGAGGCTTGAGCACAATTCGTCGTCCATCTTTCTTAAAGATATAAACATTGTCTCTGCTCTTATGGGTAGCTCCATTATTGAATTGTCATGGCCTACCTAAAATCATATGACAAGTATCCATCTCGACCACTTCGCACAAAACCTCTAGGGCTTTATTTTCGAGGGTCAAACTTTAGGCCAGCCCAGAGAACCAAATAAATATTAATTATTCCTGTACTAGACAATGGTAGACAGAATGGACATGCATGTGCTGATTTTAAATTAGGCAATACGAAGCAATCAACACAAGTTTCACTAGGGTAGAAAAAACAGGTCTCTGGGGACAAGTAGGATTACTGTAGCAAGTGACATAGTTGTTTCTTTTCGGAGGTGCTATCATTAGTTCAAACATGAGTTTCTTTCAATTGTTGATGTAATGATAGTTCAAATGTTAAAAAGTCGAAAGAAAGTTCAACATGGAAATCTTCACATTCTTGAAATCACAAACTCCACAAAGGTTCAAATAAGAATCAATCAGCTAATGTATAAACCCAAGCTAGGTGTCTATAAATCAGATGTTGTTTAATGGTGCATCACACATTCACAAGTGAAATTACATCAAACAAAACTATAGGGTACTTTTAAATAAAAGGTATTTTAAGGCAAAAGTGCAAAGTAGGATAAACTATAGGGGACTTGAGTGTAAATTTACAAAACTACAAGTTCCAGTCGCTGGCTTTTCACGGTGGCGACGACGAGGCAAGCGTGGATGTAGAAGCGGTGCTGGGCCGACGCCGACGACGGGGCGACGAGCTTGGGCGGGCGGCGACGACGTTGCTGGGGCGGCGGGGCGGCGAGGCGACGATCTCCAACGCGGCGACGATCTCCAACGCGGGCGGCGACGATCTCCAACGCGGGTCGGCAGTGGCGGAGAGGGTCAGCAGCGGGGGCACTGGGGCGGGCTGAGGCAGAGGCGGCGCTGGGGTGGGCGGCGTTGGCACAGGGCGGCGGTGAAGTTTGAAGACGAAGATTCAATTCGTGTTGGCACAGGGCAGCGGCGCCCGTGTTGGAGACGAAGATTTAATGAAAATTGATGACTGGGATTTAATAAAACCTACAGTGCAACTTGAAAAAGATTCAAGTTTGAAGACGAAGATTTAATAAAACGTGATATTAGTAGTTATGAAAATTAATCTAGGGTTTAGTTAAATACATAAAAATAGAGTTGCGGTTAGAATATGATTTGGGTTTCGGGTTATTTATATTAATTTTAATTACTATTCCTATTATCATTAGGGATTTAAGATTAATGAAGGTAATGAACCCCTTCGTCTTTAATAAGACCCAATAATGACGGTATTAGGAACAAATTAATGAAGGGACTAGAAAACCGTTACCCATCTCACATCATTCCTATAATATTTGTAATCACTTGACGAAGGCTTTAAAAACCCGTCGTTATTATATGCACATTAACGACGGTCAACTAACCCCTTTACTAATTTTGGTCGTTAAATACTGTATTTCTTGTAGTGTTGGTTACACCGCATTCATTGCATGGGGAAATCCAAAGGCTAACCATTCATTTTCCCAATGCATGAGGAAGTCCAAAGACTAACCATTCCTTTTCCCAATGTATGGAAAAAGACAATCTATTAATGCATGCATGTAGTCAACCGCAAAATCTCTATAGATTAAATCCATATTAATTCATCATGGGGATGGACCCCGCTTCCCATCAATCTCCCCCTCCATTCTCATGAGGAGAAAGTTTTCAAACAGTAGTCATACCTGCCATTCTTCGGCAGAATTCATGCTTCTCTTTTGGTAGAGGCTTCGTCATCATGTCAGACGGATTTTGGCTTGTATCAATCTTCTTAATGTGCAAAAGACGATTCTCCAAAACATCACGGATCCAATGAAAGCGTACGTCGATATGTTTTGTCCATGAGTGATAGGTAGCATTTTTACTCAAGTCAATGGTACTCTGACTGTCACAATATAGAGTGTACTTCTCTTGCTTGAGAGATAGCTCCTTCAGAAAATTCTTCATCCACAAGAGCTCCTTGTTGGCTTCTGTAGCAGCAATATACTCAGCTTCTGTAGTGGATAGAGCGATACACTTTTGCAGCTTTGATTGTCATGATACGACTCCCCCTGTAAAGGTAAATAAGTATTCTGATGTGGATTTTCTTTTGTCCAAGTCACCTGTCATATCAGAATCAGTATAGCCTTCCAAGATAGATTTTCCATCTCCAAAACATAAAGAATATTTAGAGGCTCCTTTAAGATATCTTAGGATCCACTTTACTGCTTCCCAATGTTCTTTATCAGGATTGGCGAGATAACGACTTACCATTCCAACTGCATGTGCTATATCGGGTCTTGTACAAACCATGAAGTACATCAAACTTCCGACGGCCGAGGCAAATGGAATGCTCTTCATCTCCTCCTTCTCCTTCTCACTTGAAGGGCTTTGTTGTGTACTTAGCTTAAAATGAGCTGCTAGCGGTGTGCTGACTGGCTTAGAGTTTAACATATTGAACCTCTCCAGAACACGTTCAATGTATCTTTCTTGTGATAGCCACAACTTTCTCGCACTTCTGTCTCGAGAAATCTTTATTCCCAATATATGTTGTGATGCTCCTAAGTTCTTCATATCAAAGGACTTGTTCAGCTCTTTCTTCAACCTATTAATTTTAGACCTATCTTTTCTAACAATAAGCATATCATCAACATATAGAGAGAGAATAATGAAATCATCATCTGAGAACTTTTGGACATTAACACAATGATCTGCAGATGTTCTTTTATACCCATGGTCAAGCATAAAAGAATCAAACCTTTTATACCATTGTCGCGGTGCTTGCTTGAGTCCGTACAAGCTCTTCTTCAATTTGCAAACCACGTGTTCTTTGCTCTTTACCTTGAAACCTTCTGGCTGCTCCATATAGATTTCTTCTGCTAAATCACCATGGAGGAATGCTGTCTTCACATCTAACTGCTTAACTTCAAGGTATTGAGAAGCAGCAAGACCAAGAATAACCCAAATAGAAGACATCTTTACAACAGGAGAAAAAAATTTCTTCATAGTCAACACCTTGCTTCTGACTGAAACCTTTCACCACGAGGCGAGCTTTGTACTTGACTTGGCCATTTCCTTCATTCTTGATTTTGAACACTCATTTGTTCTTCAAGGCTTTTCTGTTCTTAGGTAGCTCCACCAAGTCATAAGTGTGATTCTTATGCAAAGAATCCATCTCCTCTTGCATAGCTTTCTTCCATTTTGCACAATCATCATGAAATTGTGCTTCATGGAAACTTTCTGGTTCACCTACATCTGTTATCATAGTATACTC